CACTGCTGGGACCCACACTGAGCCCGGAGGGAGGGGAGACGCCGGCCACTTACTGTCCGACAGCACTTCGTAGGCCTCCGCGATCTCTTTGAACTTCCGCTCGGCGTGTTCCTTGTTCTCCGGGTTCTTATCCGGGTGCCATTTCAGCGCCGCCTTCCTGTACCTGCACAGCGTCGAGAGAGACAGCAGTAAGCAGCGATCCCTGAGTGTGCCCGTCACCAGGGGCTGCGCCCAGTCGAATCTTCCCCTTGTCCCCTCCTTCCCCAACGCTGCTTCCCCAGAAAGCAGGGCTGGATCTTCCTAGAGAGCCGAGTTTGGCTTTGGAGATGCCCCGGCAAGCACAGCAGCGCCCCAGTCCCTTCGGCTGTCCCACGTCTCCAGTCAGGGCTGGACCAGTCCGATTCGTGCGTCCGGATCAACCCCATGGCTGTCACCTCTGCTCCATTTGGACACGGGAGCCTGTCTTCCTGCTGTGACTCCTCACGGGATCCAGAGGAGCTCCCCCTTCCCTGCTCGGTGATTATTGCTAGGGTCGCCAATTTTCTAATCGCACAAAACCGAACACCCTTGCCCCACCCCTGCCCCGAGGCTCCGCCCGAGGCCCCGCCCCTGCCCTGCCTCTTCTCTGAGGCCCCGCCTCCTGCTCACACCATTCCTCCTCCCTCAGTCGCTCGCTCTCCCCCACCCTCAACCGCGTTCACCGGGCTGGGGCAGGGTTGGGATGCGGGAGGAGGTGAGGACTCTGCCTGGGGATGCAGGCTCCAGGGTGGGGCCAGGGATGAGGGGTTCAGGCTGTGGGAGGGGGCTCCGGGCTGGGGCACGGGCTCTGGGAGGGAGTTTGCATGTGGGGGGGGCTCAGGGCTGGGGCAGGGGGTTCGGAGTGCAGGCTCTGGTCGGGCAGCGCTTACTTCAGGCGGCTCCCAGAAGCGGCTTATATGTCCAATTCCTAGGTGTAGGGGCGGCCAGGGGGCTCCGCGTGATTCCTGCGCCCGCAGGCATTGCCCCCGCAGCTTCCATTGGCTGCGGTTCCCAGCCAATGGGAGCTGCAGAGCTGGCGCTCAGGGCTGGGGCACCGCGCAAAGCCTCCCTGGCCACCCCTGCACCTAGGGGCCACAGGGACATGCCATTGCTTCCGGGAGCTGCATGGAGCCAGGGCAGGCAGGGAGCCTGCCTTAGCCCCGCTGCACCACCAACCGGCCCAGTCAGCAGTGCTGATTGGAGACACCGGGATCCCTTTTCAACCGGGCATTTCAGTCGAAAACTGGACACCTGGCAACCCTAGTTATTGACATGGATGAATGCAATTCCATCCCCAGGCAATGACAGACTCTGGGCCCTGGCTGCAGCCTGCATGGGACACTTCCTGGCTCAGGGGCAGCAGCATCTCCTGACTATAACTCCCTGCTCTGGGCGTGTTTCCTGCCCTGGGGTTTATTCGGACAAGCTGCCCTTTGATGGTGGTCGTGGGGTTTTCCCCGAAGTGCCAGGAGGGGCACAAGCACCCTTTAAGGCAGTGGTTCTCAAACTTCTTTGATTGCACTCCCCTTAGACTCATAGAATATCAGGGTTGGAAGGGACCTCAGGAGATATCTAGTCCAACCCCCTGCTCAAAGCAGGACCAACCCCAACTAAATCATCCCAGCCAGGGCTTTGTCAAGCCGGGCCTTAAACACCTCTAAGGAAGGAGATTCCACCACCTCCCTAGGTAACCCATTCCAGTGCTTCACCACCCTCCTAGTGAAAAAGTTTTTCCTAATATCCAACCTAAACCTCCCCCACTGCAACGTGAGACCATTGCTCCTTGTTCTGTCATCTGCCACCACTGAGAACAGTCTAGATCCATCCTCTTTGGAACCCCCCTTCAGGTAGTTGAAAGCAGCTATCAAATCCCCCCTCACTCTTCTCTTCTGCAGACTAAACAATCCCAGTTCCCTCAGCCTCTCCTCATAAATCATGTGCTCCAGCCCCCTAATCATTTTTGTTGCCCTCCACTGGACTCTCTCCAATTTTTCCACATCCTTCTTGTAGTGTGGGGCCCAAAACTGGACCCAGTACTCCAGATGAGTACTTTGTGTCTGTAGGAGTTTACGTCCCCCACCCCACCACATAAGTACATATACCAATAAAACAAATCAATATGCAACTCTCACTATTAAAACCTGTAAGGCAGTGGCTCAAACAGAGCCACTGAAATACAGAGTAATGGACCTTTTCAGTGAGCTTCTGCCGAGTGGCATCACACTGTTGTGACTAGTGTGCTGGGTGTGCCTGTTTTCTGGAGCAGAGCAATTCCATTCTGGGCTGGGTGATGGAGACAGCTATCCGGAGGGTTCCCTTCTGCCTGGAGTATGTTTCTTCAGGAACCCATCAATTTTATCATTTAATAGCAGAAGGTTCAAGTTGGCACTTGAAGTGAAACATTCGGCTCCTCAGAAATGTCTGCTAAATATGCTAGCTTTGAAAGCCATTTGGAATCAGAGAAAAGTTCTGCATAAGGTGAGCCGGCGTCAAGAAGGAACAAGCTGAGTTCATCTTTCAGCTCAAATACATGCATCCGGATTTTTCCTCGAGATAGCCCCTGGATTTCTCCTGTTCTGATCCCATCTCTACATAACCTTGAGAACAATCTCGAGTTCAGGGGACAAGACTTAACAAAGTTCACTATTTTTATTGCAGTTAGCAGGACACAATCAAGTTCTGGTTCGAGTGTGTTGGAAGCCAGAGCTTCCCAGTGTGTACACAATGTGTGAAAACAACATGCGGCACCACTCCCAGAACTTCTGCTTTCGCTCCAGCTTTTCCCCCCATAGCACTGGCCCCATCTGTACATACACCAACTCAGCATAACCACTCCAGTCCTTCTTCATGCATGAAGTTGTCAAGTTTGCAAAATATTTCTTGCCCTATTGTCTCTCCTTGAAGAGAATTGCAAAATAAATCTTCTTGCAGCTTCCTGTTGTAGCAGTAACTGACATACACAAGCAGCTGAGCCGGATTAGAGATGTCTGGAGACCCATCGAGTTGTAAGGCATCTTTGGGGCTATGTTTAAACCGTTCGATCAGCTGAATCTTTATGTCGTTGGCAATATCATCAGTGCGACGTGCAACTGTATCGTTGGACAATGGAATGGCTTGAAGTCAGGGCCGGCTCCAGGCACCAGCCTACCAAGCAGGTGCTTGGGGCGGCACCTGGAGGGGGGCGGCACTCAGGCCCGAGAGCGGGGCCACGACTGGGCTCGCCGCCCTCCCCGCGGCGCTCCGGCCGCCAGGGAGAGCGGAGCCACAGCGGGCTCGCCGCCCTCCCCCGGCGCTCCGGCCGGTCGGGGAGAGCGGAGCCGCGGCGGGCTCGCCACCCTCCCCCCGGCGCTCCTGCCACCGGGTAGAGCGGGGCTTGCGGCGGGCTCGCCGCCCTCCCCCCGGCGCTCTGGCCGGTCGGGGAGAGCGGGGCCCCGGATGGGCTCTCCGCCCTTCTCCCGGTGCTCCAGCCGGTCGGGGAGAGCGGGGCCGCGGCCGGGCTCGGCGCCCTCCCCTGCCGCGCTCCCCGCCGGGGGGTGGGTGGGGCGGCGGGAGGCTTTTTTGCCTGGGGCGGCAAAAAAGCCAGAGCCGGCCCTGCTTGAAGTGGAGTTGCAAATTTGTCACTGCATAATGCAACACGTTGCTACGCAGCCAGAGAATGGTGTTTCACCCACTGTGTGTGGGGAGGGGCTTTTTTACATTTAGCAATTAGGTAGGAAACTGTAGGAAGCCGTTAGAGTTTTTGCTGGGGTTGTTGTTTGTTTGTTCATAACATCCCGTTGACCTTTAAGGTCTCATTCTTTCCACTGGAAATTCGCGGCTGGCTTATCGGCGTGCGTGGCGTGTTTGGGCTGCAGATGCCTCTGCAGCTTTATGGGTTTTAAGCTCTCTTGTGCAAACTCTTCTGAGCATAGGACACACTGTGGGTGCGCCACATTTCCAATCCGCAAGTAGGTGAAGCCGTATTGTGTGTATTCCTCTTGGTATTTCCTCCGCTTGACTTTATGCCATGGGTCGTGAGACGGATTGGCCGCCCACAGACCCGGAGGGGGAGGGGCCCCTCACTGAGCCCTGGTGGGCGGAGCCACACCTCGCTCAACCCTCCCGCTGGAAGTCAGTGGGCAGGACCAGAAGTATAAAAGCTTGGCCGGAGAACTCAGTCGGGAGGCAGCCGCCGGAGGAGTCAGACGCCTCCTGCGAGCTCTTGAGCTGGGAGGCTGCTGCAGGCCCCGAGGGAGCCGAGGACTGGCCAGGGCCATTTACAGACCCGAGCAGGGAGGAACTGCAAGCGCTGACAGAGGCCTTCTTCCCTGACGACCAGGACGACCCTCTCCCAAGGCAGATATGTCCAGAGGGGGAGCTGGGAAGTGGCTCAGGGGTAGCCGACCCCGGTCTGGCTGCAACGCTGCCAGTGAGTGAGTCAGCCCCTCCCTGCAACGGACTACACGTGTCACAGCCTTATCTGCAGCACGCTTCACTATTTGTGTGGCTTGCTTCTCAATATCTCCCACCAACGGCAGTGCTTCACTTGGATCTGTTTTGGCTTCTGAGTTGGTTTTTTTGTTTTGTTATTTTCTGTTGCACGAATGAGCCAAGGATCCATTGTAGTAACAGCACAAGTAAAACTGCGCTTGTGGTCCATGCTTACAATTAAATGTGCACACCGCCTCGTAGCAAACGGATTAACATACAGATGGCAACAACTTTGTATAATGCTATGCAAGCTTAACAGAAAGCCGTCAAAATGCACAGGGCCCTCTGGTGCAGCATTTCTCAAACTGGGGGTCCTGACCCAAAAGGGGTCACAACCCAATTGTAGGGGTGTTGCAGTATTGCCGCCCTTACTTCTGCGCTGCCTTCAGAGCTGAGCGGTGGGAGAGCGGCAGCTGCTGGCCGGGCACCCAGCTGTGAAGGCAGCACCGCCGCCAGCAGCAGCGCAGAAGTAAGGGTGGCATGGAACATACAACGGTATGAACACAGCTGCGAAACTGGCTCTTTACGCCCCGACCAACCTGCAAAAAATGTGTGATTTCGCCACAATTTAAGTAGATGCCTGTTGATTGCTGTGGGCAAAATGTGCGCCGTAAGGGTGTTTTTTTCCCCCTAAAGCTTCTCACACAACCCCAGAAAACAGCCCCCCAGTTTGAGAACCTCTGCTTTAAGGAATGACAATAACTCTGCCATGCTACGGCATCCCAGCAGGGACCAGGGATGGTTCGTGCTGGACACCACGGCAGGATCTGCCCAGGAAGGAGGGTCTCCCTTTAAACATGTGTCGGTCCCCTCACCTCCCCCCCATGTGGCTTTCTACCACCGCCAGGCTGCAGTAATGATGGGATCTTAGGGCCCAGCGTGGCTGTGAGCGAATGGTGGCTAGGTGGAACCACAGCCCTGCTGCAGAGGGCCTTGCCTGCTCTCGCTGACACTGATGGGTGTTTGGACCCTGATTTCAGGAGCAGCAGACTTGGGGTCAAAGGCAGGGCTCCCAGGGTAACTCCAACTGCAGTAGCTCTGGTCACCTTTGCCCTCCCAAGAATCATAGAATCATAGACTATCAGGGTTGGAAGGGACCTCAGGAGGTATCTAGTCCAACCCCCTGCTCAAAGCAGGACCAATTCCCAACTAAATCATCCCAGCCAGGGCTTTGTCAAGCCGGGCCTTAAAAACCTCCAAGGAAGGAGATTCCACCACCTCCCTAGGTAACGCATTCCAGTGCTTCACCACCGTGTCTCTGTCACAGCTCAGTGGGGAAAGGGCAGCCCCTAACAGGATACCTATGCACAGCACAGGGTACTACAGGGGAGCCAGCTCCCGGCCACCCCCCCTCCCACGTGTCCCGGCTCACACCACAGACTAGCTCCACCTCCACCGCCCTCCTGGCCCTGCAGCCACCTCAGCATCCATTCCTAGATTCCAAGGCCCGTTGGGGCCACCTAGTCTGAGCCCTGCAGAGCACAGGCCGAGAACGGCCCCCTTTCCCGAGAGGGCGGCATGGTCCCTGTAGCGAAGAGTGTTTGTCCATGGTCCTGTTACATGACGGTGGGACTCAGCGCTGCCCCACGGAGATCGCTAGATGCCCCGCGTCCAGAGCCCCTGGGGACAGCACTGGCATGCCCAGAGGAACGGTGCCATCGGGACGCCTGGGGATGAGGCTGCGGCTGCTCCAAGGAAGAGGGACTTACGCCTTTTTTATGTCGTCAGAGGAGGCGCTGCGGGGAATGCCCAGGGCTTCATAGTACTCCACCATGGCAGGTGTGGGTCCTGTGCCGAGGCCAGCAGGGAACCTAGGAGGGAAAGGCAGTGAACGGCATTGAGGAGAGCAGCCAGCCTGCAGGTCCCAGAGTGAGGCGCCCCCTCACCCAGTCCAGCTGCAGCCCGTACCTCTCTTCGAGCAGACAACCTCGGCCAGATCCCTCTGTCCTCTCTTACCCACACCCTCCAAACAGAGCCTGCATGGTCTGTCTGTCCCAAGTCCTTGTCCATCTGTTCAGCTCACACAGGTTCTGACCTCAACCCAGCCACTGTTCAGAAATCCACCCCTGACTCTCTCACCCCCCTGCCACTCGGTGCAGCCCCCGAATGGCATCTCTCTCATTGATACGCCCCACCTCACCCCGCCCCTCTGCACTGTCCTCATCCCTCTGCAGCGTTATTATAGTATGTTAGAGCAAACCACAGTGTCCTAGACACTGCGACGCGTGTATAAACCCCGGCCACACTGGCAGTGAGAGGGTTAAAGGAAAGTCCAATTAGCCCTTAATTATGGGTTAGCTCCAGCTGGGGAGAACCAGCCTGGCTGGTTCCTATAAAGGAAGGACTGAGGGCCCTGGGGTGGGGAGTCCTAGCTCTCTCTCTAGGACAGGAACCCAAAGGGGTGTTTGGGCAGGTGGCTGTACACTGGGCCTGTCTCTGCAGGGAGAAGGAGACCCCTAAAGCAGGAGAAAAGCCTGTGAGGGAGAAGCCCTGAGGGTCGGTGGCTTGGGAGGTGCTGGGGAGAGAGCCGTGGGGGTAACAGAGCGAGGAGAAAGTTTGCGGGTTGGAGGACTGAGTCGAGGGAGGGAGTGTTTTCATTCCTCTGCGTTGGGATGTTGTCACCTCAGACGGGGCAGGACTCTGAGGGTGGATCTGCACTGTAGCTGGGCCTGTGCTTCCCAGCTAGAGCCAGCATGCTGAAAACAGCAGTGTTGCTAGGGGTAGCATCATGGGCCGGTACTGGGGCAATCCACTGCGGACAAAGTGACATGGACGCCCTGGGCATGGACCCGGACCAGACAGATAGCTTGTGCTGCCCCTGGCTAGGCTGCTTGCGTCTGCCTGGGCTGGGACGTGCTCCCCCAGCGGCAGTGTCAACATCCCCTGGAGGGGAACTCACTGCAGAGCTGGGAGGGAGAGGCACTGTGATGCTGGCTCTCACCACAAGGAGGTGCTCTGCTATGGTGAGTCTATGAGAGGTGCCTTACTGGGGATGCAGGCAGCTGTGGGTCCTGCCCAAAGGATGGGGGTGCTGAGGGCTGGGGGCAAGGACTGGTGGGGTTACAGTACTGTAGTCACATGACCACTCTGTTTAGGCATCGGTACAGCTAATAATGCCACTTTGCACCAATATACCAATGGCTACTGACTCCCTCCTGCAAGCAGCATGAAGGACGCCAGCCTGAAGGAGGGAGCTGGATGAGGAGGCAGGTGGCTTTGGGCCCAGAGCTGGGAGGTCCCTGCCCCGGTTGTGGAGGGAGGCCAGAGAAACACGTGGCAGTGGCTGTTGTGGATGCAGACACACTGTCCCTAAGTCGTCATAAGAATGGCCATACTGGGTCCATCCAGCCTAGTGTCCTGTCTTCTGACAGTGGCAAATGCCAGGTGCCCCAGAGGGAATGAACAGAACAGGGAGTCATCAAGTGATCCATCCCCCGTCCCCCATTTCTAGCTTTTGGCAAACAGAGGCTAGGGACACCATCCTGGCTAATAGCCATTGATGGACCTATCCTCCATGAATTTATCTAGTTCTTTTTTGAACCCTGTTATAGTCTTGGCCTTCACAACATTCTCTGCCAAGGAGTTCCACAGGTTGGCTGTGCGTTGTGTAAAAAATACTTCCTTTTGTTTGTTTTAAACCTGCTGCCTCTTAATTTCATTTGGTGATCCCTAGCTCTTGTGTTATGAGAAGGCGTAAATAACACTTCCCAATTCACTCTCTCCACACCAGTCATGATTTCATAGACCTCTATCATATCCCCCCTTAGTCATCTCCTTTTCCAAACTGAAAAGTCCCAGTCTTATTAATCTCTCCTCATACGGCAGCCATTCCACACCCCTAATAGTTTTTGTTGCCCTTTTCTGAACCTTTTCCAATTATAATATATCTTTTCTGAGATGGGGCGACCGCATCTGCACACAGTATTCAAGATGTGGGTGTACCTTGGTTTTATATAGAGGCAATATGATATTTTTAGTCTTATCTATCCCTTTCTTAATGATTCCCAATGTTCTGTTTGCTTTTTTGACTGCCGTTGCACGTTGAGTGGATGTTTTCAGAAAACTATCCACAGTGACTCCAAGATCTTTCTTGAGTGGAAACAGCTAATTTAGACCCCATCATTTTGTATGTATAGTTAGGATTATGTTTTCCAATGTCCATTACTTTGAATTTATCAACATTGAATTTCATCTGCCATTTTGTTGCCCAGTCACTCAGTTTTGAGAGATCCTTTTGTAGCTCTTCACAGTCTGCTTGGGACTTAACTATCTTGAGTAATTTTGTATCATCGGCAAATTTTGCCATCTCACTGTTTACCCCTTTTTCCAGATCATTTATGAATATGTTGAATAGGACCAGTCCCAGTACAGACCCCTGGGAGACACCACTATTTACCTCTCTCCATTCTGAAAACGGACCATTTATTCCTACCCTTCGTTGCCACTGGATCCCCCTTGTCCACATGCTTGTTGACCCCCCTCAAAGAATTCTAGTAGATTGGTGAGGCATGCTTTCCCATTACAAAAACCATGTTGACAATTCCCCAACACATTATGTACATCTATATTTTGGACAATTTTGTTCTTTACTATAGTTTCAACCAGTTTGCCCAGTACTGAAGTCAGGCTTGCCAGTCTATAATTGCCGGGGTCACCTCTGGAGCCCTTTTTAAAAATTGGCATTGCATTAGCTGTCCTCCAGTCATTTGGTACAGAAGCTGATTTAAATAAGTTACAGACAGTTAGTAGTCCTGCAGTTTCACATTTGAGTTCCTTCAGAACTCTTGGGTGATACCATCTGGTCATGGTGACTTATTACTGTTTAGTTTATCAATTTATTCCAAGACTTCCTCTAATGACACCTCAGTCTGGGACAAACCCCAAACTTGAGCCCTTCTTTTTAGGTGACAAATCTGAGGAATTTCCCTCACATCCTCAACCGTGAAGACGATGCAAAGTATTCATTTAGTTTCTCTGCAATGGTCTTATCATCCTTGAATGATTGTCCAGTGGCCCCACTTATTGTTTAGCAGGCTTCCTGTGTCTGATGTACTTAAAATGTTTTTTGCTATTACTTTTTGAGTCTTTGGCTAGCTGTTCTTCAAATTCTTTTTTGGCCTTCCTAATTATATTTTCACACTTCATTTGTCAGGGTTTATGCTCTTTTCTATTTTCCTCACTAGGATTTAACTTCCACTTTTTAAAGGATGCCTTTTTGCCTCTCACTGCTTCTTTTACTTTGTTGTTTAACCACGGTGACTCTTTTTTGGTTCTCTTACTATATTTTTTTAATTTGGGGGATACATTTAAGTTGAGCCTCTATTATGGTCTCTTTAAAAAGTTTCCACGCAGCTCGCAGGGATTTTACTTTTGGTGCTGTACCTTTTAACTAACCTCCTCATATTTTTTTTTATTTGTTTGTTTTTCTTTTCTTTTCCCCCAGCAGTGAGCTTGCAAGTGACCATCACAGCTGGACACAGAAGCTGTATTGTACATCTCTGCTGTTCGTTTCCCTCCCCTCTTGTGTGTGTTTTTTGTCTTCTAGGAAACCAAATCAGATTTTAACAGCAGCCCCAGCTGATGCTCATCTCAGCGAGCTTCTCCCCCCAAAGAAGAGTTATTGCCATCTTTGGTACCATCTAAAAGACTGTCAAACATGGGGGGCCTTTCCTCCTACCACCTCTCCCCAACTATGGGGAAAGAGGGAGGGTGGGTGTAAAATAAGGCTTTCATTTTAACATTTGAAATGCTGTTTTTCTGGATCTTTAATGAAAGGCTCAAGGGATTTTTAGGGGTGTGTTGGCCATGGTACCGAGCAGGCTGAGGTCTCTGCATAGAAACCCTGCACCTTACTCCATGGTGGACAGTGACTGGGTAATGTTAACGCCTTTAGCCCATATGTTCCAGCTACGCTGCTACAACAGTCCCCTTCTCGGCCCTGGAGCTGCTGCTGAGCAGTGAGCTCCCCTGGGGGTCCCACAAGCAGAGGGGCCTAGTTCAGCTGTATTGCCTGAGCAGCGTGTGCACCCGTGATAGACGAAGGAACCTAACCATGAGTGTCCTGCTCGCTCTAAGCGAGGGTCTCTCCATGGTGCGGCTCTCCAGGGCCTGCCATGGGGCTCTGCATGTGCTGCAGCTCTGCCTCGGCCGTACCTTATCGCTGCAGGAGAGACGGCCCCAGCTGCACCATGGTCTCACCAATCCAATGGCTCCTCTTTCACTTCACACCTGCAATGCCTGCTGCTGGCTTGGGGAAGGAGGGCGGGGCAGGAGCTCATCAGCAGCCCATCACATTCCTCCACTGCTGATTAACAGCTGCTGCAGCCAATGGGACGCTCAGGCTGATTGTGATGTCAAGGTTCTGCATTTATGAGGCTGCAATCCCCAGCCTCAGCCCAGCAGCGGTCTGGACAGTGGTCCTCGGGGGTATTAACCTAATTCCCCTCCCCCCACCCCCACTTTAAGGGCACATATCACTGTGTGGGGTTGAGGAGAAGGAAGTTACTCCTCCTCACAAGTTTTATAGCCTCCTTGCCCCTAGTAGAATGTCGGGCTCTGTGCGGCAGCAGATTTGCCACCTTCCTCTCTCTGCTAGCTGCCCCCTTAGTGGTCTGAGCAGCATGCTCCCCAGCTGTGGTTATGGGGCTTTGATCTATGGCAGCCCCTCAGCTGTAGCATGAGTCTTTCCTCGTCAGATGCTTGTGATCTCCGCCCATTACCACTTCTCAGGTTATAGCATCCAAGAGTGAAGGGGCCAGACCAGACAGGTCCCTG